ATTTATAATTAGTATGATAGGGTAAAGAAGAAAAGTAATAAATAAATCATTGTGCATTTAATAAAAAAATACAATATCGAATTAAAGAATCTTTAGTCACCGAAAATAAAACATCAAATAACCAATGTTAACGCTATAAAATAAAAGAGAGCTTTCCCTGCAATTGCTCTGCGCTTGAAATTACAAAGCTTTGTATAAATTTAACATTTTCAAACAATAAATAACAACGTCAAAGGGGAAACGAGACGATAACAACAAAAAACGTGAAACAAAAACAACAACAAAAACGAGCCCCGCGTTGTCTGGGGGAAATGCATTCCAGACTGAAAAACACACTTAGTTCTGAAGTTCTCAATATGCCTTTTGCTTTGCCGTCAAATTGTCAACGAAACTACGTTTTCGCGTTAAGTCGAAAATACACGAGACAGTAAAATTGTGTAGTAACTTGTATGTAAAAAAATGATGTACTCCTCTCGATCTCTTCTTCAACTTACATGCACGTAACGGTCACAAAATCAAACATCATGCTGTTTACTTCCATGCCAGTTACTTGCCTGTGCTAGCATGCGTATTCCCGCCTTTACTTTACGTGGCTGACAGTTGGCATTAGGCCAGTAGCTTAATTATTCTTTGATAATAGAAATTAAAAATCATTTCGTTCAAATCTCCGGGCTTTTTATTTCTCCTTTGTTATAGATATTTTGTCGTTTCATAATTGCGTTTGGATGACTTCCACGGTTATGATAAATGGAATTCGTTGGGTTTTTTGACACAATGTGTTTGATGGTCTTTAAATGGTTTTAAGAAAATATTTTAATACTATTCACATTTGTACTAACTAAAACAGGTAGTATTTTATTAATATAAGGTAGCAAACGAGCTGTCACGGTGTTTCGCCAAAATTGCGAAGTGACCGCTGTCCACAATACTTGTAGATGACAGAAGACAAACAACGTATAAGTAAATTTTTCTTATTTATTAGTAATATTTTATTAAAATAAAAGTAGACGAATCTTAGTAATCCAAAAAACATAACCTCAAAACTTCTTGTAGGAATTATATAGATTTAAAACCACTCAGAGTTACCCAATAAACTTATATTAGATCAATTGGTAGGAAATAGACGTAGCCCACAAATTAGATAATTATATTACATGATAAATGTGTCGCCGAATACTCCGAGTTGGCCCAATTCCAAGCATTGTGTTTTTTACAATATTGACGTTATCTAGAGAAATGGCCTCACAACATATTCATGGCTTACTATATATAATTTTCATTGGCAAAGTTACTTTGGTTTAATTTTGCGATTTCAGAATGCCATTCGGGCTGAATAATGGGCTTCGGACTTTTCAATAGATCGGAAATAATAATTTATTTAATGAGATAATTAATGTTTCAATAAGTCGACATTAAATAATGCCTTTTAAATATATAAAAATTCCATTTCGTTATCTTCCCTAGAATATTATGATAAAATACAATAGGAATTATATACGTATGATATACAAATAGAGGTGATTTTCGGTTTAAAAAAATCTTTTTAACAAAGTAACAATTTACTATTGAAATATGTCTAACTTTATAGTAAAATATGTGGAAGTAAATATTTCACGTTATACACACCCTATACATCACTAGTGATGCGTCGCGTTACTCTTTATCGATAGTCGATATCGACATAACGCGCACGTGACAATAGACCGTTGACATCTTTACGAGCGCTCGCCTAGGGAGATACTTTAATGTGTTGTTTTAATGAAAATATCCCAAATGGTTTTCATCTTCGAAATTTCATTAGTTCGGCTTTTGTTTTATTAATAATTAATAAGTTACTCTACTTTATTAAACAAGAGAATTGATGGAATTCATTATGTAGTTCATACTATAGTAAATTAATATCTTCGACATTACTAAATCACAGAATATCAGAAGATTTCTTTAGTTTTTAATAAATAAGACTTTTTGTATTCAGCTTGATAAAATGTCTCTTGGATTTGTTTTCATCGCATTACGAAGAAAACCTTTTTATAAAAGCATCGATATCTCAGTAGTCCGCGAGAGTAAATGTCTGCGAAAGATTTGTGCCTTTACTTCGTCGGTTTTGGCTGCGAATAAATTTCTATTGGGCATTCTCATTTCCTTTACGAGTAGGGAATGGGGGGCTATTCTGTAATGTAACGGAACGCGGTTGCACATGAAAAGTAATATTTTTCGCCGTTTGTATTATCCATTCATGTATTCCAGAGATTTAAGCTTGGAAATTGCTATGAAAGAATACGTACGGATTTATTCCCGGGCCAGTTGGTTCGTTCTGTTTAAACTGTTATTAATGAGAACTTTACAAAAGGAAATGGGAATGTGAATGAATAAAACATATACGACTTCCCGCAAACACCCCCGGTTTAGGCGTATATAGGTTTTTTTATTTCGAGAATCACAATCTTAAGGGCTAAATAAGGTCCGCTATACTACAATTTATGTATCGTGAACTATTCTATAGAACATGAAACCCAAAGCAAAGCCATTGTTTAAATTTGTCTCACAATATAGGTCCTAAAATATTGCCATGTTTTTAAATTAAATAAACCTACAAAAATTTAGTTTTAATGCAATTTAATTTTCATCATATCTTGCAAAAATATTTATATATCTTCGATAAAAATTATAAAACCAAAATAATTAAAAGTCGATAACAATTAACCAAATACGAGTGATTCACAACACTAAACGTATGACGTCACTCCATCGAGTAAACCACAGTGCAGGCTAGTAATTTGCCAGCGAAATGTGTTACGAATGCTGCACCTTGTGATGTAGTAATTAAGATTAAATTACACACACAGAGTCTTTAAGTACTGCATTGAAATAATTCAAAAGTCCCTTTTAACTCCGCTTTACAAGTTACCAACAGGAAAAGCTTTAATACAAATTGTTGGTCGCATAGTTGGAATTATAAAATGTAGATCAACTTAACTTGTGTAGTGCTGTGAAAAAGTTTTTATCGATGGTTTACAAATCTTTAGCATTTAAATTGGTTCAGAAATTAAATTGAAATTTTATTTTTTTTATGTCATTTTAGACATCATTTTTCACAAAAGTATTATGTACACATTTTACTTTCATAAAATCTATGTCTTCAGAGTAGGAATTTTTTACAGTAGGAAATATTAAAAGATTATTCAATAAATGTGCAAAATAGAGAATATGTAGCTTGTTACATTTTGTCAGAACAGAAGCGCATAATATACACATCGTAGGTCTGATCCCGTAATCCCGAAATCTATTCTGGGAAATGGCTGAGTGACAGCCTGTCACTTGGGAGGGGTAATAGCGTGACAGGTTAAGCCACGCCTTGAGGATCAATCGATAAGCTCCTGAAAGAGACTCAGGTAAGAATTACAAAGGGAGCAAATAATAAAATATTTGGTGAAACTTTTCGACGGAACTGTACTAAAGCAGTGTTGTACCCGGATTGATTATTATCGATAAAATTGCCGAGTTTCAACGAGAAAGGAATTGAATTGTTATTGTTGGGGGCCGATTTGTTCGTATGCGTGAAAGCATTGAATAGAGTAGGGTTTAAACGATATCTTTGTTGAGAGAAAGTTTGCTGTGTCACTTTTAGGGTGAATGGTCTGTATTGATTTTGTTGTCTCAAAGTACCAATAAGGATGAATTTCGTAAATTGATATTATCAAGATTTTAGATTGAATTGAACAAGTTATAAGAATGGAAGCATCAAGGGCTCTTGTTTTGTAATAAAGGAAAACAAAGATCGAGCCGAATTGCTTTCTTAAAGTTTATTTCTGTAAATTTTTGAGCACGTATCAAAGTATCGATAAAACTGGAGATATTACAAGTCTTTGAAGATTTATAAGTGCTGATATTTAAAGATATACCAAAGAGTTGCTTTGCAATATTTTGGGACATTTTGACATAATTTAATTCAAGTTCACTCTAATTGTTTCTTTAAACTAACGTATGAAACTTTTTAATAGCATTTCCATAAGTAGTACATTGCACTATCTTATTGCAAAATTTAATAGAATTTCAAAAATCACAGTTTAAAGAAATAAAGCTACTTTTCTAACATTAATGTTCTAATTTTAATTTCAGATGTAGAATAATTTTACGTGCAACATTTCAGGAACGGAAACATACGGAAACAGACGGTAAAAGAATATCGATATCTTCCCCATCCCTAGTCGGTTGGGTGCAAGGCTCATAAATCAGCCTGCGTCGACGTGCGGCATGTCTTAATACAATTCTAAAGTGAAGTGTTCATTTGTAAACAACATATTTATCGATAGAGTGTGGAGTTTTGGTTATTTCACTCAACATTTTTACAATAAATTCTGTAAGATTTGAGTTCTTACTGCTTTAAAGTGCGTTTTCAGAAGACAAAAATATTTTTTTTTATCGATAAAAACATATCGATTGCGGTGCATCATTAAACTACATAAATCATGGAGACATACGCCCTATCTGTTGCCAGTTTAATACGATCCCCTGAAACGTCTACAGGGGTGGCAGCTATGGGGGAAAAGCCACCCACAGGGGGTGTCGTTTTTTTACAATCTCCGCGTAGGCAAAAAGCCGACATCGCGGACGTGATATTGTTATGTATTTTCTGGAAGTTTTGATAGGATATTGCTTCCTACGGATCCGATGTACTTGAATATTTCTCTTGTCAATTTTCTTATATTAATTTGATCGTTTTATTTGATTGGATCTCGGAATATAATCGAAGATTTTATCTGTTTAATAAACATTTATGCTTTTGATTACGTTCTTTCAAACAAGAATTTTCATTAGAATTTCTTAATAGGTTTTAACTTGTCTTTTGTAGCAAGTCAGATATTACGTAGAAATAGTAAATGTCGAAATAAAATTGAAATATAAAACGATAAGGTCAACTGTTTTCTATTAAAATTGGTTCTAGAAATACCAGTCGCTTTATAGTGCCAGTGAAATTGGCATTTAAGCTACCATCTTACCTATAAGCCATTCGTATCTGCTCTCCGTTCTTGTACCAGATGAGTTGCGCTGGTGGGTTTCCTCCTCGGCTGCGGCAGACCAGCTCCAAGCTCTGACCGCGGCGTACCGTCTCTCCTTCCGCGTAACCCTCGATGTACGGAGCTCCGGGTGGATCTGATGATTAAAGAATGATCTAAGAATTATAACTAAACTAGCAGTAGCCCGCGAGTTCGTCCGTTTGGAATTAAAAAACAAAAGTAAGTAGGCTATGTGTTCTTTCCAGACTATCCTCTCTATCTAGGCTGAATTTCATCATGAACAGTTCAGTAGTAAACTTTAACAAACATCCATCCATCCATCTAGTGCATTCATAATATTAGTAAGATTGACGGAAAATAGATTTATTTGGAAAAGGATAACGCACACAGAAAAGGACAGAAAAATGGCGTAAATTTATACAAAATCTCCATGTGTTTATTTTTAAATTACAACGTGCTGTTAATAAACTAAGGTTATGTAAAGAATAACTATTCTTGTAACTACATTCTCATAAAAGAAAAGAAAGGATGATTTATCAACAATTAACCATCAATTAAAAACACAAGCAAACGCGGATAGGACCAACTTTTTTAAAGACCACCTGGCGTTTTAATTAATTTCTTCCTTGCTCAATTAGCACGGTGACTTGTAAAGCTTTTCTTAATTCCTTTTTCGGTCAATTAATACGAAGGGATTTTTAGGTAATAAACTAACAGAATACCGCCAGACTTATTTCGTATTTTCTGAAAGGAATTAAACAGGTTATAAACTAAAGAGGTTATACCAACTACCAAAGAGAACTGGCCACACATTTTGTGGCGACGTAAGACTAGCAAAAAAAAAATAAAGATGCGTTCGAGCGTTATTTAAAAATAGAATTGAATTTATTTATTTAATAATTGTAATCATAAAAATTTTAAGAAACTATTATTTTCTTACTATACTAGCTTTTGCTCGCGTCTCGGTCCGTGTGGTATTAAAAAAAAAACAAAAGTTAATAGCCTATGTGTTCTTCCAGACTATCTTCTACATCTCTACCAAATTTCATCGAAATTCGTTCAGCCGTTTAGGCTACAAACATCCATCCATCCATCTAAACTTTCGCATTTATAATATTAGTATGAAGTATGTATGATTATCATGTAAGTTTATTCGTAGAAAATGTGAAAATAGATAAGAATTTGTCGGGAAGAAACGTAAAAATCTTATTTTCATCTCTTTGAATATCGCAATCTGTGTGAAAATTGTCGGGCAATTTAAAATATTAAAGGAACTCTCGAATTTTTAAGTATTTGTAGATGTTCCTTTTAACGGTAAAAAGATTAACTTTTGTCTTTTGATGGTTTTTATCTTTATTTTTAAATTTTACTGTAGTGGGAATATTTTTCAACTCTTTTCCGGAAGATTTTTCATTGTTGTACATAGATAAATGGTTTTGTGTTTTAAAGTTTTATTTTAGGCTTTAGCTCGTTTTAATGAATGTTAATGAAATATGAAACAGTTTCTATAGTTTAATACTTACAATAGTTATTGTTACGTATTCCAATTATCTTTATTTTAATCTGTTATTTACTCTATCTATCTATCTTACTAATCTTACTAATATTATAAATGCGAAAGTTTAGATGGATGGATGTTTGTTAGCGTTTGTAGCCTAAACAGCTGAACGGATCTCCATGAAATTTGGCACAGGTTTAGAGCATAGTCTGGAAGAACACATAGGCTACTTTTTATCCCTGGAATAGTTACGGTTCCCGTGGGATTCATTAATTTAGTTTTTTAATGTTTACTCGATCATTCTGCAACGGTTCAACATATCTTATAGAAATTTGGCACAGATATAAAACAAAGTCTGGAGTACACATGGGGTAAGCTTTATCCCCGAGAAATGTCCGGTTCCCGAGGGATACGTAACTTTTTGTAATTTATATAGTTTGTATGTTTTCTAATACCACGCGTACGAAGTCGCGGGCAACAGCTCGTGTGTTATAAAGAGGAAAGATTTTTTGTATGTATTTATATAACTCAAAAACTCAACCGATTTCAAAAATTCTTGCACCATTAAAAAGCTGTGTTACCGGGCGAAGTCGGAAGCAACAGCTAGTACATTATTTAATTATCAAATAAACATTTTTCAATTCTATATTTTGAACAACCGAAGACATTTTTTCTTTATAAAATTTTATGTTAATTCCTAAACAAATATCTTACTTTACATTATTATGTGAAATACATTTAATATGCAAGTCGAAATAAGTTTTCTGTACCATTAAATTAATTAACTTAATTAACGGAATTGCTAAAGAGAGAAGAAAAAACTAACAAAGTCACAAATGTACTCTTCAATAGTTTCTTTTGTTAGCCGTATTCTTACTTCTCCCTTCCTTTGTTTCAGCACATGTCGAGTGTCGTATTAGCACGATCCTTACCACAATACTATTTGGTGTAAATATATTTTAGGCCCTTCATATATCAATAGGGGATATCTATACTTCCATACTATTATAATAAAGCGTAAACACACACTTCTTTGTTGCCTAAGATGTCAGCATTTACAGCATATTTTTGAATAATTCTTTTTTTAATAAAGAGCCCTACACTTGCGTCACGCTTTAGGCTATATATTTTCACGCTATTAAACTTTGGGGGTAAACATTTTGGATAAAAACCCTAATATGGGAAAGAGACCATAAGTTGTTGCCAACATCAAGAAAGCAAAATTGCCATAGTAAGGTTTGGTATTTTGTCATTTGCAATTCAGAATTTGACAAATCAAACTACAAAATAAAGTTTTTATACTTTCATGCGGATGAAGCCACACGGGAACAACTAGTACTATTATAACGAGGAAAGATTTGTATTTTTGTATGTATTGAAATAACTCTAAAACTACCCATCCGAAATCAAAAATTCTTTCACCATTAAAAACCAACGTTATCAGTGAGTGTGTGTGAGTCTGTTTTATTTTTAATTTAACACACCTACACCAAATTTTATCGTGATCCGTTCAGCAGTTTAGGCAACTCTAACAAACATCCATGCATCTAAACTTTCGCATTTATAATATTAGTATGATTCTAATTGTAAATGTAAGGAATGTATGTCAGGATGTACAAAAACATCCCCTCCCCTCCCCCCATTCCCCTCCCCTTCCCCTTCCCCTCCCCTTCCCCTACCATCCCTCTGTTATGTTAATGTAACAAATATAATAAGAGCTTGCCGACTGTAGTGTATGTTCGTAATTAAACGGCCATTGTTCCTCGCCCTGGATGTGTTGAGGGTGCATTTACATAGTCACGTAACAATTGTTTTTTACTGATGTTTGTCTTGAAATTAGTACATTAAGATATGACTTTATAATGAGATACTTGGTTCTCAAAATCGAAACATATGTCTACTTTTTTGTAGCATGAATGAACGTACTAATTAGTACGTTCGTTTGGTTTTTTGTCGAAGAGCTGTTATCTTCGTTTGTTAGAATTATTATTTCCTTTAGTCTAAACTATTAGTGCTTTAGGAGTCTATTCTTAAATATGTAGTTTTTTTTATTTTTTAAATGACTAAAGCATTTAACCTAAGTAGTATTATAAATGCGAAATTTTAGAGGGATGAACGGATTTCGATGAAATTTGGCATAAATTCGAAGGATACATTATATCCTACATTTTTTTAATTCCACACGGACAGTCGCGGGCGAAAGCTAGTTTTTTATATTTATGTGTTAATACTCATGTGTAAAGGGGCCAGCTGAAAACCAGCGCAGTAACGGTCTGCGCCGTCCCTGCATTAGCTGAGCTTGCCACCTTTTGCCACATTTCTCTCTTTTTTTATATTAGCTCTAAGGTTTTGTGTATATAATGTTTATATATTTATTTTTTGTCTCAATAAAAATTCTACTTATTTATTTTAACCAAGTCTAAGTACAAGACACACATGTCGCAACGCCATGTGTAATTCTTTAAGAAACTTTGTATTGTGTTACAGTTCGGTGTGATACACAGTCAAGTACTTACAGCGCCCTCTTGCGAAGTTTGATACGTTATTGTTTGGCCGCGACCGACTTTTGTTACAATTAAAGATTCACGCGCGGTCTTTGCAGACTCCTTTGTCTTGAGTGTCTCTGGTAGGGGGAGGTCTTTATCGATTGAAAGCATTCATTGTGCGAAAATCAAATATATAAGTTAGTTTTTTAGATTTTTTTTATATCATAAGGTGCCAAAAGCCACCTGAATCCGCCAACGGCGAAGCAACCGCTGCCCATAGACATTCGTAATTGCGGATGCGTTGCCTACCCTTAGTCGAGAATATTTCCCCTTCCTATGCGTCTCCTCCAGCTTCAAATTCACGTTCCCTACCAATCCTTTTCTTATAAGAAAGAGGGAGGTAAAGAAAAGGGACTGAAGTTGGACTTCCAGCACCACACTTATCAGACGAAACGAGAACTTCCACTGTTTTCTGTGTGGTCGTGCTAACCCTACAGTGCCAAGATGTTTAAGCAAATATACATAGAAATAATAAGAAAACGGGTATGAATTAAGATTGTAACGTTTTTTTTTAATTTTGTTTTGCCATAGTTTTAAAATATACTATGAATTTTCGCACATGTTTCTTCAGGTTAGCTGATTCTAATGCATGCAGAGGTCCTTGAATTAATGCTCGCCTGTTCGTATGCAAATCTAGAGGATCCTGCGCTCAGGGAAAACATCTCAAGGATGACGTCACAAGAACCTTACACTAGGTGTCCATGTTCAGTCGGGGAATTTAATTGCCTACCCATTTAGAATCCCATATTGTAGTCACCAGAGATGTTTAGCAGTTATGTATTTTAGTGCCAAATTCTGCAATTTCCCTATATCACAAAGTAATTTTTGGTAAAAATTGTTAACCATTAAAGTGATTATAAATACTGGAATATGATGTAAGAATCGTGAAAAGCTTTTTGTAAATTAATTCGCTGTCAAAGAGTAGGCACAGTTACAGACATACAAAGCGAAATTAAATAAAAAATTCGTTCGTGGAAACCTCCGAAAAACCCTTCAAATTAGCTTCGCAAAAATTTTCTTTTATTGTACAAAGCAATAATTTTTTTCTCTCTAATTATATAAACGGATATTATATTAATGCTCGTTACTAGA